GCCTTAAGGCTAAAAGGCGTGGATTTTTTAAATCAGTTTTTGAGCCTGCCTTAAGGCTAAAAGCCGTGGATTTTCTAAACAAATTTTAGAACCAATATTAAGGTCAAAATGCGAGGATTTGTTCAACAATTTTTTGAACCAAAATTAAAGCCAAAGGCCGTGGATTTTCTAAACAAATTTTAGAACCAAAATTAAGGTCAAAATGCGAAGATTTGTTCAACAATTTTTTGAACCAAAATTAAGGCCAAAAAGAGAACAGCTTTTGAAAAATTTTTATGGCCAAAATTAAGGCCAAAAAGAGAGCATTTTTTGAACAATTTTTATGGCCAAAATTAAAGCCAAAAAGAGATAAGTTTTTGAACATTTTTTATGGCCAAAATTAAGGCCAAATGGCGTGGAATTTTTAAACAATTTTGAGAGCCAAAATTAGGGCCAAATGGCGTGGAACATTTTTAAAGTCTCAAATCTCGATCCAGACATTTGTGTCCGTCCGTCTGTCCACTATAATTTATAAACATGACACAGGACACAGTTATGGACCAAACCATAATATTATATGCTTATCCGGTCGCACAAGAGGTCAAAATGATGATCCGAACATCATGAAATTTTAAACGTTAATGGATTTTTCGTCATTATTGGTCAATATTTATCGAGTCAAATGAACCAAGACTTTTGTGAGAGAAATGGCAAAATTTGCATTCTATTTTCTTCTGAAGGACATAGACCGCAGAAGTCGAACCTATTTCTAAGAGGAGTAGTTTGCTTTTCAATTGACGTTTTATAAAGCGTTTTATAAATTAGCGTTTTATAAATTAGGGGTCTTCCTTGACCAGAACCCACAGCAAAATTTGATGACGATTGGTCTAGACGGATGTTAGAATATTTTTTAACTTATAGAACCAACCCTACGACTTCTTAGAAAAATATTCCTCTTCGTATCATCTTAAATTGTTTCTCATATTAATCCATCTGATGGGTGACCTACTAATCAAAAAAAGAAATACCCTTCTCAATGAATAATGGTATCACTATTAAAAAAATACAACAAAAAATAATAACAACATTCATAAAAATGTCAACGTCGAACATTTCCCACACAGAATCATTGGCGGTCAACTGTAGGTGGTGTAGTAGTATCAATTGTAGTGATACACATACATACATTCATCGGACATCAGTCAGACAGTGCAACAACATCGATACAATACAACCATGTATGACGATTGCACGATGATAAATTCATGAACACACCAAGCAGCGGACATCCGTTTTGGTGTTGTTTAACATGGTTGTTGTTAATGTTGCCACCATGTTCACATGTAAACCAATTGAGTCGGATATACTTGTATACGCATTCACAGTCATGTCAGACATACATGCATGAATGTGTGTGCAAGACTTTTATTGGACATTGGTTATCATATGGGAAATATGTGAATGAATATAAGGAGTTGTTGAAGATCTTAAAATAAAATGTAGTAAAAAAAATATTTTTTTAATATTTAAAGAGTCTTTATAGATGATCTAAATGAAGTCTTTATAGAAGAGCTGATGGGACTTTATAAAATTTATTGAAAGAACATTTTTGAAAAAATATTCTTTAAAAAATCCACACTTTTGTTGGTCCCCGAAAGAATTATGCCTATGTTGATCCTTGAAAAAATATTCTTTAAAAAATCCATGACTATGGATGATGGAAATGAAAAAATATTCTTTAAAAAATCGATGCCTATGTTGGTCCTTGAAAAGATATTTTTTAAAAAATCAATGACTATGAATGATGGTCCTGGAAAAAAAAAATATTTTTTTTTGCAAATCTATGCCTATGAAAAAATATTCTTTAAAGAGTCGATGCCTATTGATGATGGTAAATAAAAAAATATTCTTAAAAAAATCGACGACTATGTTGGTCCTTACAAAACATATTCTTTAAAAATCCACGGATATATTGGTCTTTAAAAAAATATTAAAAAAAATTACGCCTATATTGGTCCTCGAAAAAATAGGCTTTAAAAAATCTATGCTTTGTAAAATATCCCCTGCATTTTTTTTTATAAAAACCCATGCATAGGTTGTTCCTCTGAGTATAGTACAAAGTTTTTAAATCATATTTTCAAGAAGTTTGTTATAGACGTTAAGTGGAGGTTATAGGGAAACTGAATACGGAGGTTTTTTTAACCGATCTGAGACTAGGATCATTTCTAGACTAGTTGCAGTTTAGACAGCCTTTATAGACAAGTTGGAACTAAATGAGTCTTTTTTAAAATGTATAGTTAATATCAAAAGGAACTGCAGGGTGTATACATATACGAAGTGAAGGACAGGAAGTCAGTTTGGGCGAGGTGAAGGGAAGATAGTATATATAGATGAGCTGAAGGCTAGAGAAAATGGAAACTGAAACCGGGAGTCTGAAGCTCTATACATGAGCCGAAGGGAGTCTTTCATAGTCGACCTGAAGGTAGTCTTTCATAGACTAGCTGAAAAAAGGGGTCTTTCATAGACTAGCTGAAAAAAGGGGTCTTTCATAGACGAGCTGAAGCAGGCAGTCTTTCATAGACGAGCTGAAGTAGGGAGTCTTTCATAGACGAGCTGAAGTAGGGAGTCTTTCATAGACGAGCTGAAGTAGGGAGTCTTTCATAGACGAGCTGATGGGCGTCTTTTACAGACGAGCTGATTGGCGTCTTTCATAGACGAGCTGATGGGCGTCTTTCACAGACGAGCTGATGGGTGTCTTTCATAGATGAGCTGATGGGCGTCTTTCATAAACGAGCTGATGGGCGTCTTTCATAGATAAGCTGATGGGCGACTTTCCTAGACGAGCTGATGGGCGTCTTTCATAGTTGAGCTGATGGGCATCTTTCATAGACGAGCTGATGGGCATCATTCATAGACGAGCTGATGGGCGTCTTTCATAGTCGAAATGATTGGCGTCTTTCATAGACGAGCTGATGGGCGTCTTTCATAGACGAGCTGAGGGCGTCTTTCATAGACGAGCTGAAGTAGGGAGTCTTTCATAGACGAGCTGAAGTAGGGAGTCTTTCATAGACGAGCTGATGGGTGTCTTTCATAGATGAGCTGATGGGCGTCTTTCATAGACGAGCTGATGGGCGTCTTTCATAGTCGAGCTGATGGGAGTCTTTCATAGACGAGCTGAAGGGCGTCTTTCATAGACAGCTGATGGGCGTCTTTCATAGACGAGCTGAGGGGCATCTATCATAGACGAGCTGATGGGCGTCTTTCATAGACGAGCTGAAGTAGGGAGTCTTTCATAGACGAGCTGAAGTAGGGAGTCTTTTATAGACGAGCTGATGGGCGTCTTTTACAGACGAGCTGATTGGCGTCTTTCATAGACGAGCTGATGGGCGTCTTTCATAGACGAGCTGAGGGGCATCTATCATAGACGAGCTGATAGGCGTCTTTCATAGATGAGCTGATGGGCGTCTTTCATAAACGAGCTGAAAGGCGTTTTTATTGACGAACTGAAAGGAGTTTCTATTGATGAGCTGAATACCATCTAAGAGTAGTGGGACAAGCAGAAGGGAGTCTGTACACGAACTTCTGAAAGCTAGTAAAAACGTGCTGAAGGCCAGTGATTCTATATAGACGAGCTAAAGAGCAGTTATTTTAATAAATATTATTTACGAAGTCAATTGTTACCATCTAGTCTTCAAAATTGTTGTTCTTGGAAAACCTTTCCTTAAAAATTCTTCTGAACAAATTTTTTTCCTATCAGCAAGGAGTTTATATTTCTAAATACATTCTTCCTTATCGTGGGAACTATTGTGTTTATATTTCCAAATTATCTAAAAAATAACATTTATATTTCAACACCCACTGTTTTTTGATTCTCTATATGTTCGTCCACTGCCATCGTATTGGGTGTGATGACCAACTGTGACTAGTGAACTCCATGAGTGTTGTGGAATAAATTAGGGAGGTGTGTATCATGAAATATCGTATGTGGGGATAAAGGCATTGCTTCAAAAGCAATTGCTTTGGTAAATGTGTCGCTTGTTGAATCATTTATTATTTCAACAATTTCATATAACAATAACACAAAAAACAGCAGCAGCAACTACAACGATGATAATACTACAATCCGTTATTGTTGTAGTAGTATGTCTGTATGTGTGACCATTCGTTCCAACACTTGGTTGCTTACGCATAACATCACTTCAATAAATGTGTAAAGGGAATGAGAGGGCAAACTGTCAGGCAGGAGGATGGACGGACAGACAAAACAAATAAACTGTGAAGGATTACATTAAATGATGATCCTTTGTTATTATACTCATGTGTGTAGTATACGAGGGAACGTACACACTCACGCCCATACGTACAAATAACATTTGCAGGATTGTACATGTGGTCGAGTATGTCCGTGTGTTTGGCTTGTAATTTTTGCGACAAGTACTACTGTGTGCGTCCTTTACTACTATGTCCGTGTGTCTGTCTGTCTGTCCTTCCATATTGCATCGTCGGAGTATTTGTTGGGAATTAAATTGAGTAAACGTTTATTTGTTATGTTCACAACATTATTGTCAGCATTAAGTAAAGTTGTCTCTGTGTGAGTAAGTGTGTGCCTGTGTGCGTTTAGTTTGTCATTCAGCATAATTGCTGGGTCCTTCTTCCACTAGATTTTCAATTCGTTACGCGTTTATTTGAAATTGCGTTTCATTTTATTGTTGATTCGTGTGATTTATTGTGAAGCGAAATGTTTTTCCATCGTCTACTTCGTCGCCTAATAGTGTGCAATATTTGCGAGGAGCAGCAGCAACAGCAGGCATCCTCATATGAATCATTTTTAATGGTTTTTCATGTGTGCTCTTATTTGAAAATTGAATTTTTATTATTATTATTATTTTTTGGGGTGTGGGAGTGTGTGTCAAAAATATATATCTCAAATTAAATCTAAGTGATGTGAAGTGGTGGTTGATGAATGTGAGTCTGTGATAAATATTGTTAAATATGTGTTTTCATTTCATTTCTCGTTTTAGGACACTGTGTGGTTCAGAGGCCTCGTCAATCGGATCAACTAATACGAGAGGGTACTGGCAAAAGGGTAAGTTAATTGAAAATTACATTTATAGACGAATTTTTCATAGACGAGCTCAAAGGGGGTATTTTATAGACGAGCTGAAGGTGGTCTCTCATAGATGAGCTGAAGTTAGTCTTTCATAGACGAGTTTAAGGGTGTCTATCATAAACTTCAGCTCGGGCGTCTTTCATAGACGAACTGAAGGGAAGCGAGTCTTTCATAGAGGGCGTCTTCAAAAGACGAACTGAAGGGAAGGGAACTGAAGGCATAGACTAGCTAAAGGGAGTCTTTCATAGACCAGCTTAGGGGAGTATTGTATAGACGAAGGGGATATTTTATAGGCGCCTTTCATTGTCGAGCTGAAGGCCGTCTTTCATTGTCGAGTTGGAGGCCGTCTTTCATAGACGAGCTGAAGAAAGTCTTCCATAGATAAGCTAAATTTAGTATTTCATAGACGTGCTGAAGGGAATCTTTAAAAGACGAAGATATACGAATTGAAAGGAGAGCTTTATAGACGAGCTGAAGTGAGCCGAGCTTAAACGAGGGTGTCTTTCATATTAGTTAGTATTTCATTCACTGAATGTCAGCGGTAGCATTGAATCTCTGGGATAATCCTGTGACTTTATCAAGTTAGTATTTCATAGACGTGCTGCAAGGAATCTTTAATAAACGAGCTGAGGGGCGTCTTTTAAGACTAACTGAAATGAGTCTTTTATAGACGAATTGAAAGGTGTCCTTTATAGACGAGCTGAAGCGAGCCGTTATAGACAAGATAACAGGATTCTATATAGACGATTTGAAGGGAGTCTTTCATAGCCGAACTGAAAACGATCTAAAGGAAGACCTTTACAGACGATCTGAAGGATGTCTTTCATAGACGAGCTTAAGAGAGTATTTCATAACGAGCTGAAGATAGTCTTTCATAGACGCGCTGAAGATAGTCCTTCATAGACTAGCTGAAGAAATTCCTTCATAGACGAACCTATCGGGAGTCTTTCATAGATTAGCTGAAGGGGTCTGGATGAGCTGGATAGAGTCTCTACTCTCTAGCTCTATAGGTGAGTTGGAGAGACTTTAAGGAAAGCTGAAGGGCGTTTTTTATAAACGAGCTGAAGGGCGTCTTTCATAGACGAGCTCAAGTCTGCTGAGAGCTGAACCTCAGGTAGTCTTTATAGACTCCCCAAGCATATTTATAGTCGAACTGAAGAGTCTTTATAGGAATCCTGCCGCAGGATTATTTACAGACGAGCTGAAGGGCAAGGATCCTATTTAGACGAGCTGAAGGCATGTTATCTTTATAGGCGAGCTGCAGGGCAGGGAGTCCGTATAGTCGAGCTAATGCTCGGGGTGTCTTTATATGCCAGCTGAATTTCAGGTAGTCTCTATAGACAAACTGGAGCTCAGCGAGTCTTATCAGGAGTTCAGTGAGACTTTATAAGCGAGCTGGAGTTCATAAAGTTGTTATAGGTAATCTGAAGTTCAAGATGTCCAACGAGTTTTATTGAACGGGCTGTCGAACTGAATAGTCGTTATAGGCATCCTGCTGCAGGATTATTTACAGACGAGCTGATGGGCAAGGATCCTATTTAGGCGAGCTGAAGGCATGTTATCTTTATAGGCGAGCTGAAGGGCAGGGTGTCTGTATAGCCGAGCTAATACTCGGGGTGTCTTTATAGGCCAACTGAATCTCAGGTAGTCTCTATAGACAAACTGGAGCTCAGCGAGTCTTCATAAGCGATCTGGAGTTCTGTGAGACTTTATAGGAGTTCATAAAGTTTTTATAGATAATCTGAAGTTCAAGATGTCCTACCAGTTTTAATGAAGCTCAGAAAGTCTGTTTAGGCGTCTCTATAGGGCAGCGTCCGATTTCAAGACAACCTAGAGATTTTTTATAATGAGCTGAAAGGCAGGGAGTCTAAGGTGAACTGAACTTCAGATAGACTGAATAGGCGAGCTGAAACTCTAGGCGTCGTTATAGGCCAGCTGAATTTCAAGTAGTCTCTATAAGCAAGCTGGATCTCAAGGAGACTTCATAGGCGAGTTGGAGATCATGGAATTTTATAGGCGAGTTGAATGTTTTTTAGGCTTGCTGAAGCTTAGGGAGTTTTAATAAACGAGCTGAAGCTCAAAGAGTTTATTTAGGGCTCTTTATAGGCTAGGGGATGCGCAGGTAGTCTTTTTGGGGAGTTCATGCTCATGGAGTTTTTTTTTTTTTTTTTTTTTTTTTTTGGGAGCTCAAGAACATACAACATGGAGTCTTCAAGCTTAGGGAGAGTGTTATAGCCAAGGGCAGAGAACCTTTCATAACCGAAACGGGACACAGTCGTTGCAGAGACTATAAAGTGTAGATTTAGCCATGTCAAATCTATCCTGACATTGCTACTCCTCATCCTTTTTTCGGTGTTGAAGGTTTTAGCCGCAATTACCCATCGAAGTCGCAGTAATATAGCATTACTGTGAGTGGATGAAAACATGTTGGGACATATCTGTCATATGACAGTCCCGCCCCATTTTCGGCAAATGGTTGTAATTTGACATTCTGGGTTCTCAAAGAGTGAATAAACGTTTACAAACTATTTTCTATGTAGGTCCATCTTTAAACATTGTCCTCATATAAAGAAGGCTGCCAAATTTTTGGTATATTGAAGGATTTAGATTTAGTAATTAGGCATACCGCAGTCATGATGAATAAAATATTTCTTTTCAGAAATTGTTCAAAATAGGTTCATGTTTTTACATGGATCTCATACAAAGGCCCCGGTTAATTCTCTTCAAAATTCATCGGACATTTTTCAAATCTGAGTGACTTTTATTTGGTTTTACATTTTACAACCTTCGATTTTAAATTATTTCTTCCAAAAACTATCAAAGCTATGAGCTCCGATTTACATTTTGAATTTCATCTCGTTATTTTAAATTACTCAGCATTTTGTATTTTACAAATTTTCATAATTTACTTCTATATGCACAATAATTTCCATCTGCACCACTTATTTTCTGTTTGTTTCTACTGTTGTACTTATATATCCGTTTATTTTCTTCTTTCTTGCGATTATTTATTATAGATTTACTCGTTGGACGATGCTGAATGCAGTGAATTATGCAGCTGTGGTGAATCACTTACACTTACATGTCATGCCCTGTGTGTACCCTTCGCCCCTTGTCGCACCGCATTGGCATTTTATAGTCATGCATCACCGGCATATCAAGCATTTCGTGGTCGCTGCCTGTGCTATTCGGGTAGTTTTATCTGTATGAAACCACCGTTGGGTGACTATTCATTACCAGGTAAGTACTTACAGGAGAAAAAAATTGAAAAAAGAAAAATGTGCTTTATAATGTGGTTGTGGGTGGGTTATATTTAAAATGTCATGATGGACAGTGATGAGAGAAATGAGATCATAGGACTTATGTTGATTTGAAAACAATATTTTTTTATGAAGAAAAACAGAAAATTTTTAAAGAGTGTTTTCTTTCTGGGAACCATTTGAGATTTTAAAATGGATTTTAGGAACTATTTTTTGGAGAACAGAAGGAGCTATACGATTTGAAATTTAAATAATATTTTTCTTAGGACCTAATGAGAAATTGGCGTGGACTTTAAAATCCTCGCTGAGATTCTATCGACTGGGGACCAGTCGAAGCACAGTGAGTAGATCTGAAAGGCAGGGAACATTTTTTAGGTGAGTTGAAGTTCAGGGTGTCTTTTTAGTCTAGCTGAAGGCAAGGTCGTTTTTTAGGCGAACTGAAGTACATGAAGTCTTCATAAACTCAGCAGATGGGCAGGGAGTCATACAAGCTGACGGAAGGAAGTCTTTAATGGATGAGCTGATGGCAGGGCGCTTTTTATAGACGATCTGGAGGCAGATAGTCTTTTAGAAACAAGTTGAGGGCTGGGAGTTTTTTTTTATAGATGAGCTGAAGGCCGAGATTCTTTTCTATACGAGAAATAAGCGTGGATTTTTAAAAGAATATTTTTCTGAGGACCAGTTTTGTCGGAGACTAGGAGAATAAAATTCCGTGCCGATTTAGCCATGTTGAAATCGTCATTAAGAGTCCACAGGGCCCAGAGGGCAGAAGAACAGAAGGAGCTATACGATTTGAAATTTAAATAATATTTTTCTTAGGACCTAATGAGAAATTGGCGTGGACTTTAAAATCCTCGCTGAGATTCTATCGACTGGGGACCAGTCGAAGCACAGTGAGTAGATCTGAAAGGCAGGGAACATTTTTTAGGTGAGTTGAAGTTCAGGGTGTCTTTTTAGTCTAGCTGAAGGCAAGGTCGTTTTTTAGGCGAACTGAAGTACATGAAGTCTTCATAAACTCAGCAGATGGGCAGGGAGTCATACAAGCTGACGGAAGGAAGTCTTTAATGGATGAGCTGATGGCAGGGCGCTTTTTATAGACGATCTGGAGGCAGATAGTCTTTTAGAAACAAGTTGAGGGCTGGGAGTTTTTTTTATAGATGAGCTGAAGGCCGAGATTCTTTTCTATACGAGAAATAAGCGTGGATTTTTAAAAGAATATTTTTCTGAGGACCAGTTTTGTCGGAGACTAGGAGAATAAAATTCCGTGCCGATTTAGCCATGTTGAAATCGTCATTAAGAGCCCACAGGGCCCAGAGGGCACAGGTTTGAGAGAATGTTGTTCTGGGGACCAACAGACATACAAGTTTGGATTTTAAAGAAGATTGTTCTGGGGACTAACCGACATACAAATTTGGATTTTAAAAGGATATTCTTTGCTTGTCAATGAGAGCTATAAGCGACGGTTTTGAAATAATAATTGTTCTGAGAACCATATTTCAAGAATACTTTTCTGAAGATAAATGGAGCTGAAGGTATGGTGAAGAGTTCTATAAATTTGTCACTCCACTTGCAACACCTCGACATAAACGTTTTTGCAGAGGATGTTCAATAAAGGTCAATGGTTTGTCATAGCCCACATATAAGGGTTGTGCCTATTTACGGAGAAGGTCTTAGTTCCATATTCCCAATTAAGTGGCTGCAATGTGCCATTCAGTGTTTTTAAGGGCGAAACATATCGTTGCAGGACATTTTCGATAGATTACCATGTTTTGAAATAGTCCACATAGCGATTACGATCCATTTGTGGTTCTATAACGATTTTAGTAATAATGTAGTTCCTCATCCATCACCTCAATTTTGGGATTTTAAATATTTTAGAAGCATTTTCCAGTCAAAGAGGCTTTGATTTGAGTTCTTGGAATGCGAGAGCTTTACAGAATTTATGGTTGCAGCACTTTTTCGATAGGTTACCATGTTTTGACATAGTTCACATAGCAATTACGCTCCATTTGCGGTTCTAAAAAAGGTCTTAGTAAGAATGCAGCTCCATTTCTTGAAATAACTCCATCTTAAAGCCTCACCTCAATTTTGGAATTTTAAATATTTTAGACATATTTTGGAAATGGAATGTGAAAAAGAGCTTAACAGAATCTTTCAAACAGTGGTCCATGTTGACTCCATATCAGGGTATGTAATTTTTTTTATTTATATTTGGTACACTTTGAATTTGAAGGAAGGTATGGAACTGGAATCATGAAATTTGAAATTGATATTACCGTCGGAGTGTAGGATTGGGATATGTAGGTAGTTTTAGATATTTGTACTTTTATGTACGAAAATTATTAAATGGTACTATATTTAATACAATTTGGATTTGGTTGAACCGACAGAGCTAGAACACTGAAATTTGGAAATAAGATTAATACGGCATTGCAGAATTGAGGTATGTAGGTAGTTTTAGAAATTAGTACTAATGTGTACTAAATTTTGTACAATTTGAATTTTGGGTGAACCAGTAGTGCTGGAATCCTGAAATTTGGAGTGTGGATCGCTGTTCTGGTGTAAGATAGGTAAGAAGTTTTGGAAGTTCCTACTAATGCGTACTAAATTTGGTACAATCTCTGATTTGGTTGAATTTTTGGTTGGTATATAACGAACTTTTTATACCCTTCACCACACTGTGGTACAGGGCAAAAGGAACCGCGATAAACACATAGTTATACCCTTCACCACTCTGTGGTACAGGGTGTTATGACTGCGTGTATATGTTTGTAACAGGCAAAAGGAAACGAGATAGAGACATGGTTCTTTTCGAGAATATACATAGAGTCACTTTATAAGTCGATTTATGCATGTCCGTCCGTCCATCTGTCCGCCCGTAAACAAAGTACAGGTCGCATTTATTATCCGATTTGAATGAAATTTGGTACAGCTCATTTATTTGGCCCAAAGACGAACCCTATTGATATTGGAAAAAATCGGTTCAGATTTAGATATAGCTTCCATATATATTTTCGACCCATTTAAGGTAAAAGGTGCACCTAAGTCCCTATATATCTTCCGATTTGCACGAAATTTGCCACAGCGTACTGAAATCAGCCTAGACTGATGTGTGCAAAGTTTCGTAAAAAATCAGATTTAGATATAGCTCCCATATATACTTTCGTCCGATTTAAGGTAAATGATGCACTAAAGTCCCTATATATCTTTCGATTTTTACGAAATTTGGTATAGTGTACTGAATTAGGCCTATTATGTACTTGAAGTTTCGTGAGTATCGGTTCAGATTTAGATATAGCTCCCACATATATTTTCGTCCGATTTATGGTAAATGGTGCGCCAAAGCCACTAAATATCTTTCGATATGCACGAAATTTGTCACAGAGTACTGTATTGAGTCTCTAATGACGGGTGCTAAGTTTTGTGGAAATAGGTTCAGATTCCGATATAGCTCCCATATATATTTTCATCCGGTTGAAGGTAAATGGTGCGCCAAAGTCACTAAATATCTTTCGATATGCACGAAATTTGGTATAGCGTCCTGAATTGAGTTTATAATGACGGGTGCTAAGTTTTGTGGAAATCGGTTCAGATTTCAATATAGCTCCCATATATATTTTCGTCCGATTTAAGGTAAATGGTGCGCCAATTGAATTGAGTCTATAGCGTATTGAATTGAGTCTATAATGACGGTTCTGTTCGGATTTAGATATAGCTGCCATATATTTTTTCGTCCGATTTAAGGTAAATGGTGCGCCAAAGTCCCTATATATCTTTCGATTTGCAATTGGTATAACGCACTGAATTAAGTCTAGAATGATGTGTGTAAAGTTTCGTGTAGATCGGATCAGATTTAGATATAGCTCCCATATATATCTTCGTCCGACTTAATATAAATGGTGCACCAAATTTCTTATATGTCATTCGTTAAATTTCATGTCAATGTTCTTTCGAGGAGAAAGTACGTTTGTATACAGATTTAAAACGTTTTCCTTGAGGACCATGTTGTCTTTTGTGTTCAGAAAAGAAAATATATAAAATATCTACCCACTGTCCCTCCTTTTTAAAAATTATTTTTCCCAAACAAACATTTTCACTATCACTTTGTTTTTTCCCACGATAGTTAGCTGTTATCTGCTTAGTAAGACGAAGTCGTTGGTTTATTTCAAGTGAGTGTGTGTCTGTGGTCATGATATGATGTTGAAGTTGGTGGTCTATCACAGAATACCAATTTATGCGGGTATCTCTTGGGTGTAGGTTTGAACACAATGTTAGTTTCAGATAAAAATATGTTCTGAGTTTCTGAGTTCACCACATTTGTCATATGCTCCTCATAACCACTTGGCATTGAGTTGAGAAGAAGACACGTTCCATCTGGATGGATTAGGTTACCAGCTACCGGAGGTAATGATTTTATTTTATGATGAATGATGATTAAATAGAATAGATGCTTGGCGGGTATAGTTAACAATATCTGTTGTTGGTTTATAGTTTCAACTTTAGATGAAATACTTGGGTCCTTCAAGGTTTATATAACACGACGGCGTGGTCGTAATGGGGATACCACTCACTACGTTGCTATACACAATGTGCTATATTTTTTTGCTCCTTCTTCTTCTTCTTTTTGCTTTGTACTATTAACTAAGCGTACTGTGTGCGGTAACGGATGAGAGTTGGTAGTTTAGCTATTTGTTTATAATGACCCTAGAAGTGTGCGTTGCGTGCGTGCATGTTTTGAAAAGCATCATCATGAGACACACCTGTCATTTACAATGGTTAAATGGATTTTGGACAGAGGAGAGGACGAAGCGGTGAAAAGCTTTTACTAATTTTCACTGCACCGTTGGAGAAACCCTAAAATCCATTGCTGATTATTTTTACGTTTTTTGTTTTCCCCAACCTGCAGGTGGTGTTTTCCTAATGCTGGGCTATAGTGCCACCGATGAAGCCCTACTGCGACCCCACACCAATTTGGGTGTCCAAGATGCTGTCAGAGCTCTGCAGCAATATGTTAGCGCATACATTGATAACCAGGTGAGTTATGAGTTTTGATGATTAATGTTTTGCAAAAAATAAGTAGTTGTGTGTGTTTGAGAGTTGGGAATTCAAAATAGAGGGAGAGATAATCAATTATTTGCTTCGATTTAATTAATGCAAAGTATATTTGTGGTCTGCAAAAATTTGTTAATTTGAGTTTTTTGTGTCTTCTTTCTTTTCTTCGTTTATTTTTGGATTTTTGAAAATCTGCAGACTCAGTGCACTCTAACGTTATTCAATATGACGGAAGAAAATATCATAATTGCTGCTCGATTACCGCATGATGCTAAATTGAAACCAATGGAATTGCTGAAAAATGAAAAGGTAAGCTCGCTTTTTCCTCTTTTGTTAAGTAATAGAGATTAATTTTAAATGGTTGGGAAGCTAAAAAATCGCATTAATATGTGGTTTTAATGATTGATGTTTAAATCATCAAATTCGTTTGATTGAGGCCTTAGACAAATATTTTAGCCTACATAAAACCAGTAAGAAAAGTAATAAAGACGGAATGGTCCGACTATATGATACCCTTCACCACTTTGGGTATATTCCACATATGTATCCTAACATGAAATTGAACGAACTTAAATATGTGATCTTCATCTATAAGAGAACCGACTAACATCAATTCATACACATGCCTTTCTGCAATCTATTTTAAATTCCATTTCATTGGGGCAGATTTATAGTCGTTTGCGCACAATGAGACAAATTTGTGGAAATCGATTTATAGAAAAATTGATACACGCTATGCAGCATGCGCACTATCGATAATTTAATCTCAATCAGACACCCGTTCGAAATATATATGAAAATTAGACGAAAAAATATGGATGAGGGAAAAAGAAATCCATTTTTTTAATTGAACTATAGGACTATATAGTCGATTATCACAATCCTCCCTAGATACCAATTTTTTATCATTGACATTTTTTGCAATGCAAGAAAAATATGATAATCGCTTGGTGCCAAGTCCGGACTGTATGACGGAAGCACAAAAAAAAAAAAAAAAATAAAAATTATTTTTAATTGGCCATATAGAAGACTAATAATATAATAGTCCCTAGCGTTATTATCACAATCTATATTCAAACGGTCTAGTTGTTGATACAAATTTTTGATGGAAGCAACTATTAAAAATTTTTGCAATGCATAGCAAAAAGATGATAATAGCTTAATGGATATATGCCAAGTCCGGATTAAGGTTTAATGTAAGGCGGAAGCCGGAAAAAAAATTGGCTGTAATGTAGTACTTTGAGTATTATTAAGCGGATTAAGGATTGGCCATATGGAAGATTAATCTAATAATATTAATAATCCCTTTCCAGATAAAGCCTTAAGCGTTATCCGGGATAATCCGGATTAACGCTTAATCAGGGATAATCAGGATTAACGCTTAATCCGGGATAATAGTCAAAGTACTAACTTACAGCCAATTCGGATTAGTTGTTGACAGTAGAGATCAAAATTTAGTGTCTGCCCAATGGACGAAACTATTAATAAACATACCCCTTCCAGTCCCCCAATAGCAGAATCTTCCTGGCCTTTAGTCCTGGTTTGTCCAGGGGTCAGTGACCCTTAATCCGGGGTCAATGACCATTAATCCGGACTAAGGCTTAATCCAGGATAAATGACTCTTAATCCGGATTAAGGCTTAATCCGAGATAAGCCGGATTAAGTCGTAATCCGAATTGGCTGTAATGTAGTACTTTGAGTATTATGCCGGATTAAGGCTTAATCCGGATTATGCCGGATTAATCCTTGAGCCCTAATCCCGATTATACGGATTAAAGTTTAATCCGGGTTATCCCGGATAAAGCGTTAATCCGGGATAATCGGGATTAAGGCTTAATCCAGGATAATCCGGATTAACGCTTAATCCGGGATAATCAGGATTAACGCGTAATCCGGGATAATCAGGATTAACGCGTAATCCGGGATAATAGTCAAAGTATTAACTTAAAGCCAATTCGGATTACGCCTTAATCCGGATTAAACCTTAATCTTGGGTTTAATCCAGATTAAGAGTCCTTGACCCCCGATTAAGGCCTAATCCAAAAAATGGATTAGGTGGATTTGGATTTTTTTTAAAAGAATATTTTTTCCAACGACCATCCATACAAGGCGTGGATTTTTTAAAGAAATATTTTTTCCAACGACCATCCATACAAGGCGTGGATTTTTTAAAGAAATATTTTTTTAAAGAAATATTTTTTCCAACGACCATCCATACAAGGCGTGGATTTTTTAAAGAAATATTTTTTCCAACGACCATCCATACAAGGCGTGGATTTTTTAAAGAAATATTTTTTCCAACGACCATCCATACAAGGCGTGGATTTTTTAAAGAAATATTTTTTCCAACGACCATCCATACAAGGCGTGGATTTTTTAAAGAAATATTTTTTCCAACGACCATCCATACAAGGCGTGGATTTTTTAAAGAAATATTTTTTCCAACGACCATCCATACAAGGCGTGGATTTTTTAAAGAAATATTTTTTCCAACGACCATCCATACAAGGCGTGGATTTTTTAAAGAAATATTTTTTCCAACGACCATCCATACAAGGCGTGGATTTTTTAAAGAAATATTTTTTCCAACGACCATCCATACAAGGCGTGGATTTTTTAAAGAAATATTTTTTCCAACGACCATCCATACAAGGCGTGGATTTTTTAAAGAAATATTTTTTCCAACGACCATCCATACAAGGCGTGGATTTTTTAAAGAAATATTTTTTCCAACGACCATCCATACAAGGCGTGGATTTTTTAAAGAAATATTTTTTCCAACGACCATCCATACAAGGCGTGGATTTTTTAAAGAAATATTTTTTCCAACGACCATCCATACAAGGCGTGGATTTTTTAAAGAAATATTTTTTCCAACGACCATCCATACAAGGCGTGGATTTTTTAAAGAAATATTTTTTCCAACGACCATCCATACAAGGCGTGGATTTTTTAAAGAAATATTTTTTCCAACGACCATCCAGACAAGGCGTGGATTTTTTAAAGAAATATTTTTTCCAACGACCATCCATACAAGGCGTGGATTTTTTAAAGAAATATTTTTTCCAACGACCATCCATACAAGGCGTGGATTTTTTAAAGAAATATTTTTTCCAACGACCATCCATACAAGGCGTGGATTTTTTAAAGAAATATTTTTTCCAACGACCATCCATACAAGGCGTGGATTTTTTAAAGAAATATTTTTTCCAACGACCATCCATACAAGGCGTGGATTTTTTAAAGAAATATTTTTTCCAACGACCATCCATACAAGGCGTGGATTTTTTAAAAGAATATATTTTTTCCAACGGATTAAGGGCGTGGATTTTTTAAAGCCTTAATATTTTTTCCAACGACCATCCGAATAAAGGTTTAATCCGGACAGACAAACAGACAGACGGACATGCATAAATCGACTCAGACTGTTATTCTATGCATATTCTCAAAAGGAACCAGGTGTCTATCTCGTTTCCTTTTGCCTGTAACAAACATATGCACAAGATAATACCCGTGCCCTGTACCACAGTGTGGTGAATAAACCAGTAAGGAAATATGGGGACTTCCGCAGTCACTTACACGACTTTCAGAGGCCAAATCAAATTTTAAATCTTAAATAAATCGAAAACAATTAAAATTTTTACAATCCCCTCTTAATACTTTTTGTAGAACTTTAGGAGTACTATCAATTGTAAAAAAAATTGAGAGATTTTTTTGTTTTTAACTTTTGAGATAAAAGCTACAAAAGAGCGGTCACTCACGCGTCTTCAAATATACACGACGTTAGACATCACTACTAATAATGGAAAAACTCTGCGAATTGTGTGAATATTTAAACTTCACATGAATAAGAGATACCAAGCAATATTACTGCACTTTCAAAATTTCAATACCTGGCATATCCTTTATTTATTTTTTCCAACATTGTTGATTTTGCAGTTTTTATTTCTGAAGTGTCTGCATTTTTAGTCATTAAATTAGTATTTATGCTAAGAACAAGTAGAAAAAATGACAAATGTGGTCTTTCTTTGTATTTTTTGCCTTTACATTACGTATTTATGCATAATTAAACCAGTAAGGAAAGTAGTAAAGTCGGACGGGGCCGACTATATGATACCCTTCACCACTATGGGTATATTACACAGGACTATTAGCATGAAATTGGATGAAATAAAATATGTGATATTTATCTAAATGTGAATCTACCTAGATCTATCCATAAAGTATGTAAATCGACTTCAAACTAATTTAAATAGGTCATCCGTAGGGCTATATTTTTTAGAAAACGCAACTATATTTTTATCCAATTTTGTACGATGTGCAAACATGTCAATCTGTCTAACAAGGCGTTTGATGCCAAATTTTTGAAAGAAAATATATATTTCAATTACTTAAAATCAATCTATAATAAAAGGGGCCATACACAACGACCATCCATTTTACAAACTTGCCACACGTAAATATGTGTACCAAATTTAGATATATAACTTCATTTACATGAAATAGAGCAACTATATATGGGAGCCATATCTAAATCTGGACCGATTTTCTCGAAACTTGGCAGACATCACTCTAGGCTTAATTCAGTATGTTATGCCAAATTTCGTGCAAATCGAAAGATATATAGGGACTTGGTAAAGCATTTAAAACCAACTTGTACATAACTCCAGCTATATTGCTATGAAAAGTTTTTGTCAATAGACTTAAATGATTGTAAAATCGTGCAAATCGAAAGATATATAGGGACCGTTTACATTAAATCGGTTAAATATATATATGGGAGCTATATCTAAATCTGAACCGTTTTTTTCCCAATTTCAATATTTTCGAATAAGTGACCTATGCCAAATTTCATCCAACATCATAAATGCGACCTGTACTTTGTTTACAATTTAACATGGACAGACGGACGGACATGCATAAATCGACTTAGAAAGTGATTCTATGTATATTCTCAAAAGGAACCATGGGTCTATCTCGATTATTTTTGCCTGTTACAAACATATGCACAAAGACATAATACCATGTACCACAGTGTGGTGTAGGGTATAAAAAAAAACAAATTCTTCGACTTTGGTTCACCATTTTGCGGCAGTGCCCATATATATATAAGCTATATCAAAATCTAATCCGATTTGAACTAAATTTGCCACACGTTATGTTATAGTAACTTCAGTACGTAGAGCAAAATTCTGTGCCGTTTGGACCCACCATGGTAAAGCATTTAAAACCAACTTGTAGGCTATTCTAACTCCAGCACGTTGTGAAAAGTTTTTGTCAATTTTGTGTAAAATCGGTCGACACCATTTACATTAAATCGGACGAAAATATATATGGGAGCTATATCTAAATCTGGGCCGATTTTCACGAAACTTAACACACATCATTCTAGACATACATTAGTACGCTGTGACAAATTTCGTGCAAATCGAAAGATATAAAGGGACATTGGTACATAATTTACATAATAAATCTGAATTGATTTTTCTCAATTTCAATAGGGTTCGTCCTTGGGCCAAAAAATTGATCTGTGCCAAATTTCATCCAATTTGGATCATAAATGCGACCTGTACTTTGTTCAAAATTTAACATGGACAGGCAGACGGAAGGACGGACATGCATAGATCGTCTTAAAAAAGTGATTCTATGCATATTCTCAAAAGGAACCATGTGTCTATCTCGTTTCCTTTTGCCTGTTACAAATATATGCACAAAGACATAATACCTTGTTCCACAGAGTGGTGAAGGGTATAAAAAGAAACGTATACCATTCTGAAATCTATGAAAAATTGATTGCCAATCGGGCTGGCTTGAAGTTTTTGGTATAACATTTGTATGAAATCCAGCAAAAATATGTATGGGAGCTATATGTTAGTATGAACCGATTTCAAACCTTCGCAGTTTAGTGCACCATTTACATAAAATCGGACGAAAATGTATATAGGAGATATATCTAAATCTGAACCGATTTTCTCTTATTTCAGTGGGGGGTATTCCTTGGATCAATTAAGTGACCTGTGTCAAATTTTATCCAAAGCGAATAATAAATGCGACCTATACTTTGTTCACAGAAATATATGAATAGAGGGACATGCATAAATCGACGCAGAAAGTGATTCTATGCATATTCTCAAAAGAAGCCATGGGTCTATCTCGTTTCGTTTCAAAGATATAATACCATGTACTACAGAGTATGAAGGCTATGATTAGTGAGGCGTTTAAACCCTATCTTTTGGTGATGTCTCAGTCTGTTTCAGCGCAGGAAACAATGTATAAATCATGCGGGAGAAGTCTTTGAAAACCAAGACCAAGATTATGGCTAGAAATAGGGCTAATATTTCTCATGAAAAACAGAAATACGAAATTACAGAACCAAATGTTGGAATCTCTATTGAAAATTTTATTCTCAGAGGCTTTTTACGCTTTGAACATCCCAAATACCAAATCACAACTATTTATGAAGTAATATCCGGCTAGGGTCATTAAAATACCTTAAATGAGGCCCTGTTATGGAGATTATGTCTTCTATCCCCAAGTACTAAATTTCGATGAATTTCGTAAAATCAGATATAAATACTTAAATAAGTCAAGGCAAAATATGAATTTCCATTTTTGTCTCGAAGGTTTTTATCCATAAATAGAAAACTGTCTCGAAAGCATTTATAATGCCCAAAAATGATAATTATTACAATGGGTGAACCGATATACAAGGTCTGATCGAAAATGAAATGAAAACACCTCTGATCTCGAACAATTCTTTTGAAATATTATAAATCGGATATTTTTAAAGTAGATGCGCTTCGAAGAGGGAGATTTACTGTTGTTACTCTATTCTGTAAATATTTACAATATTATTACAGTGTACAAGGTCTGATCAAAAAAAAAAAAAAAATGAAAATACATCGGAGCTCGAACAATTCTTTTGAAATATTATAAGTAGATGCACTTCGAATAGGAGGAGTTATCTTATACAGTGACTTTTGTTACTCTATTATCATACCTTAAGTAAATTTAAATAACCAAGAGGCTACTAGATACCAACATCTAACAATTTACAAATACTAATCGTTATATTTCGATTATTTATTTCTACATTTTTTCAGGATGAATGTACCTCGGTGCTGCGTACAATTAGCCATCACATTAACACGGAACATCACGAGCTGCAATCCCACCGACTATTAAGCATTTTTAAAATGGCTGAAGTTGAAGTTGTTTGGCCAGAAAGTAGTGCTGCCACCAGTAGTCTAAGATCAACAACCTCAACGTATAGCTCAAGTTTGACCCTGCTGCTGTTGATGATGTCATCGCTAATGGCCAGTTTTATGATGACAATTGTGTTGACAACACAACAGGACAATAGTTTACGGCAAGTGAGTAGAAGACATGCAACGGTTGTGGTGACATGACATTAAACAAATTACATCATAATTAGATGGTAATTAGGTCTATAAATATACAAACACACACACACAGACATACACACATATTCACACGAAAGATACACATCTAAACTATATACATGTATTAAGTTCGAGTCGATAAAAATACATATACACACATTTATACCTATGCCTAGTTGAGAATTATTATATATATATATATATAAATAATTACAATTATACATATAAATATATTATATATACTATACTATAATTATTGTTTATATGATGATGATTATTACTATGATTAATAATATAAAATAAAAGCAAATATGTACAGGAAGTGGACTAGTAATAATTATTAACTGCTATAAACGTAATAACGATCAAATGTATGGCCATAAGAGAAGGAACTAGAGAAAGCATAGAGTGCTAAAAATAAAAAAATGAATATAAAAAAACAAATAATTACTAATATTTTATACCATGTACAGTGTTAGCTGATATACCTTGAATATATTCCTGCTCCTTCATCCCTAATCCCATGTCCCATGTTATTAATTTCAGCTATTGAAGGTGTTTTTATAATTTAAATATATATTTATTTACATATTTTATACGTTATTAGTTATGAGATATTTAATTATTCAAATGGTTTAATTTTTATTTTAATTTTTTATATTTACTAATGAAGGCTTTTTGTTCTCGAATTGTTATACCCTACACAAACATGTTGTAAGGCATTATAGCTTTGTGTGACCCAAGAGTTTGTAACGCCGCGAAATATTTGTCCTAGACCCACTTTTGAGAATAGCGATCGCAATATCTGGACTAGCTGAGTAGATCTGCCCGTCCGTTTGTCCAGTATAACATGTAAACACTATATAGGCCATTGTAATGGATCAATAGCCACGAAGTTTTTATGTAGTACGAGTTCGGACGAGAAGACCAAAGATGATCGCTTCATCTGTAGGGAATGAAATAGGGCAAAGACTTCATGTTTTGCTCTTTTTTCTGATCGCTACAGAGGTCACACTTATAACCTGAACACCACGAAATTTTACACGAAGAAGGGGATCTGTCCAAAGAATAAGCAAATATGATATTCAGGTGGTATTTAGATGGTGTTTTTATAAAGTTGCTTTATATATTACAATTACAAGCCGAACATAAAAAAAAAAATTAACCGGGGAAAGGAATCAGGCAAACTAATTACAAGGGCTGTTTTGCTAATGATTGTACAATATTCAGCGGGTCAAATCAACCAAGACTATTACAAAACTTGCATCTTATCACGTAAATGCTTATCCGGAAAAACAAACATTTTTAAAAAGGTCTCCGTCCGGGAAGACATGGTCCGGAAAATTACCAGGGTCTGACCAACATTTAATCCGCTATCAATTTAATTGAAGTTGGATGAGGGATTTTGCCAATACCTTAAAGTTGAAAAGAACGATGAAAGGAATATCAATTTTTTGTCTTTGACGACTAACAAAACTCTTACGAGTGACTTTTTTATATTCTCAATATTCTGTATTTTGGAGAGTTGGGACACGTCATTGTATAGCGCATCCTTGTACTAAAAATTATTAATATTAACCCAAGCTGTGCTGGCGTGACCACATGGTCACACTCATAAGACGATCAAAAAGTCATCTAAAACCAGTAAGGAGAGTAGTAAAGTCGGACCACTATGGGTGTATTAAAAAGATTCATCCTAACTGAAGGGCCATTAACATGGAATTGGATGAACTAAAATATGTGATCTTTATCTAAATGTGAATCGACTTAGAACATAAAGTAATTTAGACTAATTTATGCACGGTTTGTTCTTAATGGACATATTTTGGGTCCTACTTAAAATCGGACGAAACTATATGGGAGCTATATCTAAATTTGGACGGATTTCAGCAAAATTTGACGCACCCTTGTCTAAACTATTTTTAGTATGTTGTGCGTCGAAAAAAATCCGAACTGGTTTCAGCAAAACTTCCACATGTTATGCTACACAAACTTTAGTACCTTGTACAAAATTGTGTGGCAATCTTAAAATAGGACAATTTTCAGGAAACTTTGCACACATCATTCTGGATTCATGTCAGAACGCTATGCCAAATTTCGTGCAAATCGGAAGATATATAGGGACTTTTGTACACCATTTACATTAAATCGGTCAAACATATATATGGGAGCTATATCTAAACTTGAAACGATTTTCAAGAAATTTTACACACATCATTCTAGACTCAATTCAGTACGCTATGCCAAATTTCGTGAAAATCGAATTATATATAGGGACAATGGTACACCATTTACATTGAATCGGTCGAACATATATATGGGAGCTATATCTAAATCGGAACCGATTTTCACGAAATTTTGCACACATCATTCTGAACTCATGTCAGTACGCTATGCCAAATTTCGTGCAAATCGGAAGATATATAGGGGCTTTGGTACACGATTTACATGAAATCGGACGAAAATATATATGGGAGCTATATATAAATCTGAACCGATTTTTCCCAATTTCAATAGGGTTCGTCCTTGGGCCAAATAGACTAGTTGTGCCAAATTTCATCCAATTCGGATCATAAATGCGACCTGTACTATGTTCACAATTTAACATGGACAGACGGACGGACATGCATAAATCAACTTAGAAAGTGATTCTATGCATATTCTCAAAAGGAACCATGTGTATATCTCGTTTCCTTTTGCCTGTTTCAAACATATGCACAAAGACATAATACCCTGTACCACAGTGTGGTGAAGGGTATAAAAACATGTACCCGAGCAGTGCTAGTGGCAACATATGGCCACAGCCCAAAAATTCATCCTGTCGATTATACTGATAAGAAAAAAGGATACAAATAAAATTTTTGGATACAGCTACCCACAATCTAGAGACGCTGAATGTTTCGTCCCAAAATTCGAAAAAAATAATTACAGCACTATTTGGGTTAAACCAATTTTGAGCCTAGCCCCCACATAACTATACCCCATATCTCAGAACTAAAATGATTTCACTAAATATGATGCCAGCCCACCTTTTTCACGTATTTTTCGGTATATTCAATATGAGTTTTCTCCTAGGAGCACCCATTAATTTTGTATGTTTTGAATGTCAGCCTCATGGTGGAAGGTACAAATAGTTCAACCGAGCCGAACTTAACTTCATTTTAACTTTTTTTAAATATTTGAATGACAACACAACATTCCTTGAGGTATTGAGTTTTCGGTTTAAGAAAATAACGACAAAAAGATGAACAAGGGCTCCAGATAGAACAGGGATATGTTTTACAAAAATATTCCTCATTCGATTTTCCAGAAGATATGTCACCTCAATAACAATCTGCAATTGCCGCAAAGAAGGATATAAAGCATTTTCATCATTAACGGCAGAACTACCAGCAATAAATTAATCACGCCATAACTCAAAAATTTCAATATAAACTATACTTAAATATACTCCCTAGAGGCTTTCACTTCCTTAAGGAATTTCAACCACCTACAATATTATTGCACAGTGTTATTGAATGGCATACGTGGAAGATTTCAATGGTGGTTCAGAAACCGATATTCCTAGGCAAAACTCAAATTTAATGAGCTCTGAAAATACCTCGCTTCTACTCGTAGGATGCTTGATATTTATAATGGGAAATAGCGGTACCCCCAATATTCGAATTAGACGGAATTTGATATTTTGAGATCTCACCCTGGGGTAGCTTCCATATAAGGATATCTTTCAAATTTAATGTCTTATTAGGTAAATATCACCTTGAGTTGTCTGTAATTTGACATTCTGCGTTCTTGTATGGTAAAACACATGCTGAACATTTGGGCAACCCATTTTCGGCACTTTACTCCAAATTGTATTGAATTTGGCATTCTATCTAGAAAGTTTTTAATATAGGTTCATGATTTTTTTCATCTCTCCCCCATTCAAAGGTTTCGCTTAATTTTCAAATTTAATGAGCTCTGAAAATACCTCGCTTCTACTCGTAGGATGCTTGGTATTTATAATGGGAAATAGCGGTACCCCCAATATTCGAATTACACGGAATTTGATATTTTGAGATCTCACCCTGGGGTAGCTTCCATATAAGGATATCTTTCAAATTTAATGTCTTATTAGGTAAATATCACCTTGAGTTGTCTGTAATTTGACATTCTGCGTTCTTGTATGGTAAAACACATGCTGAACATTTGGGCAACCCATTTTCGGCACTTTACTCCAAATTGTATTGAATTTGGCATTCTATCTAGAAAGTTTTTAATATAGGTTCATGATTTTTTTCATCTCTCCCCCATTGAAAGGTTTCGCTTAATTTTCGGTACGTTGATGTTCCTAACCCAGTTTTTCCAACCTGGGTGTCATTTTTTTTTTAATTTTTGACTCTCATTCAGGTTGAACAATTTGGTTATGACTATCGCCCTAAATAAGTATTTTGGGTTTTCAGAGAATACAAAACCTTTTGGCAGACTATTTACAATTTTAAATTTGCATCTAATGGTGGAGGGTACAAAATATATTGTTACTTCTTACTTATTATTATAATATATTTTATTTCCTTTTCTACGATTAATAGGTAATGAAACTAGGCCTAGCCTGTTGTAACTCACACTTAATCATACACTTCATGATTATGGCCCAGATATTTTCTTATATTTCACCTTTGATTTTTATGGTGTATTTATAATACCCAACACAATTTGTTATGCTTTGATATTGCAATTACACAAATTTATTTGTTAAAAAAAAGACAACTAGATTTTATTCTTGTTGTTGTTGTGAATGGTACTCTATATAGAGATAGGCGACATAATTTCACTCAAAGTAAGTCCTAAAGCAATATGTGTGTGACATACATACACATATATAACTACTTGTGAAATATATGAGAAACATACACATATGTGTAGTGTATATGTATATGTTGTGAATGTGGTTTAAATAAATATCACACAGAATAAACCGCATACTTATTTTTTTCCTCATTTTAAATAGTTTAATGACGACCACAACATATTTAATGAAATAATACAGAAAAAATAAAATAACAACGACGAGTCGTTGATGCAT